TTTTTGCCTTTATGCACCTATAACCCCATATGAAAGCATCCTATTCTTTTATTTTACGACAGTAGCATCTCATTTATCTCCACAAAAGTTAAATTATACATGATATGATATAACGTCATCACGTTGCCAAGCAACCACCTAACAATGAGCTAAAACGGCCCATTCTTTTGCTTTATGCACCTTTAGCACCTTATAAAAGCACTGTATCATTTTCAGTTTACTGCCAGCAGCGCGAGCACGCCAAGCATGGGCATGGGCATGTGGTAGTCTAATAAATAGATGACTCTGGCTAAAACTGTGTGATGTCAAGTGTCCAAGTGAATGCACTGCTAGTAAATCTTTATCCTTCCCCTTTGGCTGCTCAGGCAAAGACGACATGGAGATGTGTGAGCTGAGCCTGGAGGAGACCGGTTTGACCCGGAAGAGAGGGGCAGAGATCCTGCCCAGGCAGTTTGAAGAAATCTGGGAACGCTGTGATGGAATTCAGTACTTGAAGAAAGCCATTGAGAACAAGCAGGCCCGCCCAACATACGCTACCGCCATGCTTCAGAACCTCCTCAAGTGAACACACAAGATAAGGGAAAAGTCAAAAGCTTGGTCTACGTCCTGAGACACAACACAACACTATACACAGACAAATATAAAAGATACACAGTCAGGTTGCAGAACACTGCACCCACAGTAATCACAGACAAAGATGCCCTAAACACACTCTTTCTGTAGACAATTTATGATTTACTTTATTTTGATTATTTTTAGATTTTCAACATTTCTTTACAGCTTGCAGTAGAACATCTCAGTGATGTAGCATAACGACTTGTGGGGGGTTTTCTCAATCGATGTTTGTAGAATATCCGACCGTGAGGCCTTATATTGCAATAACATTACATCACAGAAGCCTTAAGTGGTGCATAGCCTTTTTAGCTATAAACCCCAAACCTTAATGGTTTGCAAAAGCAACAATATATTAGACAAAATCAAGAAAACCTCAGCAGACGTACTTTTAAGGGTTATAACTGTCTTTTAATTCTTTATGAGTTTTCTGAATATTACAACCATAATTGCCATTTAGTGTCTATAAATAGCTGCGATGTGGCTATGAATAATTGCCCATGCACTAGCTGCTCGTATGAGATGACAGTAATGAAAAACACCACATTTATTTGTCAGATTAAAGTACTTAAAGGTGACAATCATGAATACAAGGCCATACAACCAAGAGTCAAATTAAATTCACTTTGTATAGATTATGTGCATCTAATGTAATAATGTGAAATATCACAGGTCAAATATAGAAGACTGTAATGTTATAAGTCATACTCACAACTGCTCACAACACAGCCTAATGAAGTAGGATACATTTTTCTGGCAGAATAATAATAAGTTGATTTAATTATTCATTAACGAGCTCTGACAACTCAACGGAATTTCATGAAAAAACTTCTTTTGTACTGTTGCTCATTTGTTATCTGAGAGGGAATTGTTTTCATGTTTGCAGTTTTCTGGGTTTGGGGTTGTTTTACAGCCAGTCATTTGTGTGCGTGCGTGTGTGTGTGTGCTGTGTTTATGTAGTATTTTCTGAAGTTGATTACTTGACTCCTCAGTTGGTTATGCCAGGAATGTTTCAGTCATCTTATTCAAGGGTCAATCTTTGTTTAAAATGTAGTAGTCAAGAGTAATGTAACTATTGAATCACTCTTATGTGTTTTTTCTTTGGTTTTCTCTTGTATGTTGGCCTTGAAACTGGAAGATTGTAGAAAATAAATATATTCCTGGATTTGCTTTTTCTTTTGAAATTATTCTACACAGCTGAAAAATCACGAATTAATACACAAATATTCACAAACAAGCTGTTAATGGTCAGTGCTCAGTAAATGGATCTGACATTCTGATGATAATTCCTGATAATAGGATTAGCATGTAGGTTAATTAAACAACAAACGCTAACACACTGCAGATGTCACCGAGCTGATGCTCGTGAGTCCAATTACGTGATCAACAGGATTAAAACTCAAGGATCTTAGGCTGTTTCAATGTACAGACTTTGCAGAAGCCTTGGCTCACCCCTTATTTCTTTGTATTTTGCTATAAAAAATATGAAATAGGTGCACTGATTTATTAAAGCATGTGCAAACATATATAGAAATACAGTTTACAAGGCAAAAGCAACATTTTTACAATTCTAATGAGCTTGAAAGTGAATATTAGGTATGACTACCTTTATTCTTTAACACAGCCAGAAATCTCTTAGGAAGCTTTCTCATAACTTCTTTAAGTAGTCTTTAGGAATGGTTCTCCAGGTTTCTTGAAGGATGTTTAAAGCTCTGCTTTGGATGCTAGCAGGCTTTTGTTCCCCCTAACCATGACAGAGGCTCCAGCGTCTTTTACAGATGGCTGTAGAAACGCACTTTGGCACCTCGCTCCTGACCTCCTCAGTACATTTTGACTACAATTTAAAAAAGTGAAAATTCCAAACTTGGAATCATCGCTCCAAAACACCTCTTACCGCTTACTGGCGTTACTTTGGCGTTTTCATAGCTTCAACTAAAGAAACTGGGAAAAAATTGTGTTTTTGCAACAGGTTGCTATTAGCAATGTGTCTTTTTTTTTTTTTTTTTTTTTAATGGTTTAAAAACGTTTTCTGTTATGTGTAGACACAACAGGGGTTCAGCCAACGCACAAAGAGGCTGGAGAACAATTGCTGAAAACTACAAAAACAGAGAAATTACAAGACTGCGTAAAGACTTAGTAGTACATGTAAACTGACTGTAAGAGGAGTATACTGTACGGTGCTTTAGGACTCAAACACAATAATCTTGATTTTATTTCAAAAACCAAGTTCGTTGACGTCAGGCTTTAAACTCATTCTTTATTCGTTCTTTACATATGATCAAATTACACAGACCTAACACACTCTGAGCTGCCAAAACAAAGAAAAATGTTTTTGTTAATTCAAAAACTTTTTATTCTTTTGTTTTAAATAGAATGTGCAAAAACAAATGTCCTGGTATTAATGGACACATGATTAGTGGTTAAAAATTGTAAATGGTACAGACACCAGTATTTTTAAGAATAATGCAGTATGACCAAATACTTTATGCATTCAGTCTCTTTTTGGAACACAGTAATGTTAAAGATGGCATTGCCGTAAACAATATCATAAAGTCTAAACAAAAGATACCACCTTTTGTAAGCAAGGTGGTGGTAAACACCTTGTATTTATGTAAATAATAAATACCTCATTGTGAGGAAAGAAAAACCTTTGTCAAGGGTATACAGGAAATGTTCCTACCATTCATTATATAAAATAAATATTAGGTTCCACTTGAACACAACCTAAGTGCACAGCAGTATCCATAGCTCTCTGTCTAACAAGAGACTTTCATCACTATGAACAATTAAACTTGATCACTGCTTTACGGTATCTGCACCCATATACAGTTAGACAGCAACATTAGTTCTTTTTTTCCTCCCTCCTGTTTCGCACCGTGTTAGTGCGTTGACGGATCTTCAAACGAGCAAGGAGTCATCAGAGAACTGAAACTTCGAAACATTCATTATCCGATGCCCTTAAAACATGACACGTTCTGTATTCATTTGACAGTCGCCACGTCTGGAACAGACAAGAGCAAGAATAAAAACGGACTCATTTCAGGTGGAATTATACATGACAAAATGAAACTGCATCTACAACTTGCTTGCACTGCTTAAATCATAAGGTACATGATAAAAGGCACGCTGCTGAAGTGCTGATCGGCACAATTTTATTTTGAAACTACTCATTAGAGGTCTAGAATTTATTTTGAAGGCGTTAATGCGATAATTGCACAAATGTCAACAGTGATTTGGTTTGTGAGTAAAAAGAAAAATCATTCAAACAGTTGCTTGCTCGGATGGTTTACCTTTTGCAAACATCATATAGCTGTAAAATATTTACAGTTTAAAGTTATTACATTTTCTTATTTTTTAAATCTTATTGAACACCTAAATTGTAATATCAGTGCATATAACTTTAAATGTATTCTACATCTTATAACAGCTCAATTTTACATTGTGCATTTATATTCCTTACCTCATTGTGTGGTATACAGTGATGAAAATCCACCATTTCTGAGACTAATCTTTCTGATCTTGTTGTGTAGAGTTGTCTGGGGATCTGCGTAGGCAGGCAGTAGAAAAGCTTCATATTTACAGTGCGCTTCAATAATGTATTATTAAAACAAAGGCATTTGAACAGGATAAACATATAAAAGGCAAATGAAAGCAAACACTTAACTATTCAAGGGTCTACTCCAGGAGACTCTACCTACAGCAATCAGCACACAGTTCACTGTTAAAACTACACACAGCGGTTGGGTTTTTGTTATGGATCATGCGGTTAACTCTTTCATTTTGTCGATAAAAGCCTCTGAGTGTCTACTGAATATACCAGAGGATGTTCAGTCCCAGTGAATGATTTAATCTGCAGTATATTTTTCACATTGTAATGTAATTCGTCCACCAATCAATCCATTTTCTTTTGCTCATCCAATTGAGGGTCACTGAGCCTATCCCAGCTGTCTTGGATTGACATGGTGGCTGCACCCTGAGCAGATTGTCAGTCTATGGCAGATATTTTGAAGATACATCAGAGCAATTTTAAATACAAATGAAAAGTCAGCCTAGATTAAATGCATGGAAGGATGGAGATCAACCCAAAGTTTGCTCTAAGTTAAATAATACTAACGTATTTGTTAGAACAGAATTGGTTGGAGTATTTTAGTTATTAGTAGCCGAAGAGCTGAGGTTAGTAGTTTAGTTGGTTTAGTCTTCTGTGCGACGCAGCACAGTGTACCTCGATACTCAGATGTATATTTTCAATGGAGGCAAAATGTTCTTGCTCAGAGTGTTGGGACTGGGAGGAAGCAGAAGTTGACGGGCACGGTAATGTGGACACGTGAGTTAAGACACCATCGTCATTCTCAAATACTGGGTTCTCCCTCAAAGTATTCTCAAAGGCATAAGGGGCAAGAGTCTGCCTACAATGTAAAGGAGATTATGAATGCTTTTGAAAGAGTAGGCTATACCACACAAAATGACTAAATAGTCACGTATACAAAAACAAACTACACAAAATAGGGCTCATACTTACACCAAAGTTACAGCCTTTCTGGTTTTTATGCATTTCTTGTTGATGAATATTATAATGCCAAGGACGGCGCAAACAAGGCAGAGACTTCCCACAAGGCAGGTTACAATTAGTGACGGGTCTACCGGCACTGACACCAGCTCATTGCAGCGTTCCCCATGGTAGTGCCAATATTTACCCACGGGGCATCTAAAAGAGATGAGAAAAATGCATGCAGTTATGCACATTATTTTAATAAAATCTTAATATATAATAACTGGGTACAGTTATGGCCAAATATGGCCTTTCTTATTTCATCATCAGTTGAGCAAAAAAAAATCTGTGATGTTTCACTTGGAAGCTGTTACTGCGAACCCAAAATTGGGATTAAAAGAGCTTTCGATTCAAGTGATACATGCCTTGCATAGGTTGCAAAAAACCAAAACAAGTACAAGAAACAAGAGAGTGGGCAGGAATATAAAAATGTCCAAATCAATGCTTTGGTACGTTCTGAGAACAAAAAGAGCACACTGTTGAGCTTGGCCAATTAAAAAGGCCTGGAAGGCCATGCAAGATAACTGTGTTGGATGATCACTTGGTAAAGAAAACCCCTTAACAACCTCACCCCAAGTCAAAAACACTCTCCAGCAGATGGGCATGTCATTAAACATTCTTCCACAAAGGCACGACTTTATGAGAGCTTCGCCACATAGTGAAAACCATTCATCAGCCTCAAGAATAGAAAGGCTATTTTTGCATAGTGAATGGCCTTTCAAAAACATCGAAAAAAAACCTAGAAGACAGATGGAATTCAGATCAACGTGTAACAGAATGATGCTAAGAAAAAAGCACGGAAGCAGACCAGAATGGTTAATGAGGTTCAGCACCTGTGGAACATGCATGGCCATGCGTTCCAGTGGGACTTAGTCACTGAGTGTTTAGTGACGAAGCGACAGGAGAACCTAAAAAAAGCTGTTTTTTTTACTGATTCTGCCAAATGCAATATAGTTCATTGCATGGAACTTGACATTACAGTGACCTAAAACACACTGTGTGCGTGTGTGTGCGTGCGTGCGTGCGTGCGTGCGTGTGAGTGCACTGTGAATTCTGACAGTAATTGTCTGCAATACAGTCTATAAAGTTGCAAAAACTTTAAAACGGTATATTTTTTCAAACCCTGGGGTCAAAGAAATTCTGTACTTAAATGTGCCATTTAATTACAAATCTATTGCTGTGAAATACAGAGCTCACATTATGAAAATTGTGTCGCTGTCCAGATTTGCAGACCTAACTGGAAGTTAGAAAGAAGCACCCTTTGAAGGTAATGACATTTTTCATAGTAGAAAATGAAAAATTTGCTTTCTTTTTCCTGAGACGTGTTCAAAAGAGCTCACTATTGCTTTCAGGTTCCTGTGTCTCAATACATACCTCATGGCATATGTATAAATTTGCATAAACATTAAAAATTCTTTCTATTAAAAAGATATGTAGCGTTCTTGATAAATGACTGAATGATCCTTGAAGATAAATTTGTGAACAATTAAAAAAGCCTTTACGAGTTGGATGCCTAACTATAATAATAGTTGTTATTAATAAATACACATTTTCATCCTTACTGCACTGCCTCCGGATGCATCTCTTTAAATTTTGTTAAACACAGTTGTAGAATTCAACATTTTTCAGCAAGCAGCTCTCAGGAGATGGATGTCCTTGAGTACACCACAAAGCAACACGTTTACATCAGCCTTACAATTCAGGATAAAGATAAAAAGAAAAGAAAAACAAATGAAAAATAAAAACAAACATGGTGGATTTCCAACTTCAAGGCTCTGAAAGTGACATCAGGGATCAAATCCAAACACAGCTAAAAAATAAATAAATAAAAAATAAGGACCTAGTATAAACTTTAAGGTCATTTTGTTTGTGCTTCCTTTCATTTATCAGCTTGTGTGTACCTGCAGGTTGCTCCATGGCCTGGGATTATTTCACACAGGCCTCCGTTCAGGCAGTAGTTTGGCTGCAGGGTGCAAGTGCTATGACAAGGCAACCCGTCCACTGTGCTGTAGCCCGGATCACACAGACACTCTGCCTCGTTGGTCCAACTGTTTATCACACAGCGTGAAAACTCATTGCAGGCCAGGAACTTGCAGGGGTCTGCCTGGTCAGCTAAAACCAACGGAAACAGGAGAGAGAGGTGAAAGAAATATAGACAGAGGGCTGAGTGTTCACTAGCATTAATGCAGTCGTTCCATGTTTGCAGATTCAGAGGGGAAATAAGAAGGCATGCTGACTGATATGACAAGAGGTGTCTGCTTTCTGTTTCGTGTGCTTTTAATATGGCTCCATGCGATCATGAACTCACAATACACAACACCTTTGTTACAGTCTGTGAACAGACAGCAGATAAACACGAACCTTATGATATTGACAAGCATCATTCACTGCATGTGCAGATTAAGGATTTTTGTTCCCTATGCCTTGCCTGCATATTTTATTCACACAACATGGGAATGAACTGTGATCTCGCTTTCGCTTGGAGACACACAAAATTAAAAGTAGTGTGTAAAATCTTGCCACTAGATATCATTAGATTTCACATTGAAATCAGCTGAATTCTGTTTTCTTACGCCTTCCAATTCAAGTGCATAATACTATCTATGGTGGCCCTCTAGGACAAACAACTCTGGACTGTCATTTAGCTGTTTACCTCAGTTGTCACATTGTTGGACTCAAACATTTAGTGAATAACCTCTCACATGATATGAGAGGTAATCAAACTGGGAAAGTGTGATTTTTAGGACAGTTGAGCCTAACATTAGCTAGCGTAACGTTAGCGTAGAACCAGCTCTTGTTGTTTAGCTAGCTTTATGTCAGATGTCTGGAGACAGGAAGATTGTATTACAAAAGGTAATAGCAAGAATGTCAGAGATAAATAAACAAGTTTATGCATTTTTCATGTGTTTTAGTTCTGACTTAAGTTCAGGAGGTGAGACTTGAGGATGGGAAGGGGACGGTGTGGAAATGAGAAAAGAGTTTGAGCAACAGTGGTGGAGGAGTAACACATAATGAGAAAGAGGATGGAAATACACATGTACAGATGATAAATTGTTATATATAATTTGACCTCTGTCATGGTCAAGGTCATGGGAATACATCAGTTTGTCAGAACACATAATTAGACACTAATCAGTGTATACTTATTATTTATTTTCTATTAAATAGAAAGAAGAACCAAATCAGAGCAGTGGACAAGCAAGAACATCTCACCTGGTTCTATTTCCAAGGAGCGACTGTCAATTTCAATATCAAGCCTTTTGGAAGCTGCATTACAGAAGTCTTCAAGCACGCAGTGCACTGCTTCTGTGACATTATAAGGTACGGGCTTGTCCAGTTTCATCCTGCTGTTTACCACAACACTTCCATTCCTGAAGTTAAGAATTTCCAGCTGCTTAAATCCCGTCAAGTTGGACTGCAAATATGGCAAAAGCTGTGGAGAATGAGAGGAAAAGCATATTCATTTCTGAGAAGCTCCTATTTCAGTATTTGATTTAGCAGTTCTCTTTCAATGTTTATTTAAAAGGCATTAGTAAAGTTAGTAATCTGTGGGGAAAAAAAAAATCCCACAAATGTATTTCTTGATCCAAGAAGAGAAAGGGACTTCTTCACTTTGATTTTTGGGTGTAATTAAATTATGCCAGACACGTGCCACCCTATGTCAAAAAAGAGCTGTTCCCTCCTGAGATTAAGTCCCGGGGGAGGAGAAGTATTTAATTCTGCCACTATGATACAACAGCTTTTTCTTCTTCTTCTTTTTTAATTTGCTATTCAGGTCACTTTTTGCAGTGTTAATGCTATGAATAGTTCATAATTAAATTTTGATGCAAGCATGAAATCCTGGCATCACTGCTCAGGCTGTGTAATTAGATCCAGAATAAAATTAGGGTTATGTTCATAGGCATTAGTATAAGAACACAAATCTAACTCTAGTCGCAAAACAGTCAGAAAACACAGGGACAAAAAATGATACACTTACAACAAAGCTAACTCAAGTCTATCTATAATATATACTGTACTGTTTAGTGAAAGCTTTTATCTAAAGTGCCTTAAAGTAACACAAAGGCAGACAGTAAATGTTTATTGGATCCAGTATCTGTGCATCTCTACAGCCTTACTGTGGTAACACTGCCCCACAAACATAAAGCACAGGAGAAGCATAGTCAAGACTGATTTGAGACGTATCATATCCATTTTTTTTAATAATCTGTTACATGCTAGCTGGGAAGAGGCCTTGCTGCTATCCCTACTTGTTTTTTACAACTTTTTCCTTTTAGCTTTTTTTTTTTAATGCCATAGCATCCAATTAGAAATGAATTACAATGACACAAAAAGGAAAGAAAAAACTACATACAGTAGGCCTGTTTAGCATATTTAGCAGTAACTGCAGGGTCATTCCTATGCTGGTTCTCTTCCTAAGATGTTACATTACCTAACTGACCAACCATGTTGTTGAGCTGTCATTAATCAAGGTAATTAAGGAAAAAGAGGTGAGGAATCCAAGCAGCAACTCATTTAGAAATCCTATCAAAAAAATAAAGTCCATGTAGGTCTACAGTTGTCATCAACACTGATTAGATTTTACTTTGTTAATTTGTTGATTTTATTTCTGTTTGGTTTTCTCCTTCATGGTTTCATTACAGTGGTTACTTTAAGGTTAAGGGGGAAAATAATGTTTGGGTTCAAATAGAATATTTCACAATAGTAACCATGCGACAAAAAGCCAGGCAGAAAAACCAGATGACAAACTTCTACACTGAGTAATATTTTCTCTAATTAAAAAGCTCTAAAATGTCAACAGCTGGATTGATTGTCTCAGAAAAACATTATAGTGATGCAGGAGCAACGCTATGTTGTTAGGTTGTTCTCCACATTTACATGATACATAATGGAAACATGACAAAGAAGTATGAGAAATATAAAAAAGGGTCACGATCTCTCGAGTTCTACATAAATGTGATGAGTTTATTTACTTCAATTTTGGTATTATCAACAACTCAAAGTGCTTTACACTTTAATTAGAAGTCTTGAGCTACAGCCACCCGCATATGCTCCACGGGGTCCCATGCTCCCCGGGCTTATATTGTATGGCATGTAATGGGAAAGGGTCCAGTGTTCCAAGGATCTTGTTACATGTCAGTATTTGGACAACGCATGAGAACCATAAAAGCATAATCTATAGTTGCTTATAGTGTATAGCACATGTAAAATGATAATGCTGACCCAAACACCAGAATATTGAACATACAGACCCTGAGAACAGAGGATTCTGGGAGCACAGATAACTGCTATTCCTTTGCCACCTGACACTAGGGGGATTTATATCAGTTAAACTTGTTAAGTTGATGGTAAAAGTGTTAATTTACAAATAAATGCAATAAGGTAACTCATTGGTCCAAATAGCCAACAAAACTCAACAAGCACAAACACATTGGCTTCACTGCGTCTGTGCTGCCTTCTTCTTTTAAAAGGCAGTACACAACACAGCACCTATCTGGAACTCTATATTTACACAGCCATGTCTTAGCTTTAAGTTAAAGTTAACTTCCCATGCAGACATTATTAAATTTCCCCGCATTGTCAGACTTTGCAGTCCAGATAAGTGAGAAGCCAATCTTTTGGGACTTCGAACCAATGATTGCAGACCTGTTTAGGCAGGAAGGAAGTCAACCAGCTCAAGTAATGGGCCTACATCAATGTCCATCGATCTGAACCACTCTCCTTCAAGCCACTCCATGTTCACTACAGATGAGGCAAACATCAAACCACCACAGTGTGCGGGAGAGAGATTACGATGCTTTAGCAGGCCTGGCTGTTGAGAGGGAGATAAGAGGCCTTAAGGAGCTCTGCTCTGATCTGGTTATTTCACTTATCATTGACAAGCAGTTTACTCTCAGCTAGCTCCCTATAGCTAACAGTCTTAGCTAAGGAAGGTGTATCTACTGGAGGGTCCACCATCCAGAACAAATGGGCCACAGCTTGCAATATAAATACACATTCACACTGTTGTTTGGTCATCCATTTGTCTCAATGCAGAAAATCGTTGAGTTATAATCGCCCACTTTAGATGACCAATCCAGCTATATTGACTTTCATGCAAGGTCAAAGCTTGTTTTTTTACAAGAATTCTCACTAGAGTCTGTACTGAGACGCTAAAGATACTTTAAATTGCCATGTTATATATATATATATACATATAGATATAGATATATACACTAAACCTTTGCAGGATGCATGGCACAAACTATGAATTCATCAGTCTGACACAATCGGCACAAACTATGAATTCATCAATCTGACACAATCACATTTGCTTCTCTGAGGTTACACTTGTATCTACTGGTTCTTGCTTTGGAAAACCCAAATGAAATATCCCTGCATCTGTGTCAAAAGTCCCAAGAAGTATTTTGCTTCCATAAGTTTTAAATTTTTTTGATTTGCTGTATCAAACTAAGTCCCTCCAACCTCCATATCCAGTTTTATTGGTTGCTTCACAAACCAGTAGGTACAGGAGTAATGGGGGAGTGTGGTAAAAGGTATGAAGGCTAATTGTCCATGTATATTTGAACAAAACAAAGAAAACACTGCATCCATTTAAATGGGCTGCATCATATGCATTATTTGACATTTCTTCGTTATTGTTTTAGTGATTTATAACCCCGCCTGGATACACTGGGGCCTGTCTTTATTTAAAAAGCCCATTTAAAGGAAGACTGAAAAATCCTAATGGGTGCTGACAAAATAATATATTAAGTATAGTAAATACTTACCAGTGCAACCATCTGAAAACGGCTAAATACATTAATTAACAAGGAGAATTGCAGAAACTGGGGTTTGGGCAACCATTAAAGATTGGAGATGGAGTGTTGTTTGTGTTATTGTTTCAGGATTTTTATGCATATTTTTTAATATATATATATTTATATATTTTTTAAATACACGTTCCCTATGCCCACTGGCATGACTGCATGCATACAATCCAGTTTGTATTGCTGCTGCTTCTTGATTTGAAGGTCTTTACATAACACAGAACGCAGGGCTCTTCTGAGTGAGCCTAAAAATACCTAGGGGCAAGCATCAAAACTAAACAGAGATGTCAAGTGATGCCTCTTTCTTTGATGCTTGTGGCAAATGCAGGTTTAAAGAGACATCGTCCTCATGTACATACATGCCAGCAGCTAATGTACACTTCTTTTTGGGGGGGGAAATAAAATATATGCAGGTCATACACTCAAATATCCAAATAAAATAACATAACATTGTCCAGCTTGTGATTGGCTTTATTTCATTTTCTCTTGGCCAATAGTAGTACATATATACAGTGTGCCTATTTTGACAGGTACCCATTCAGAATAAATGATGCAAAATGCATGCAGATGTCCATATAAACTTTACTGCCATCACACTAAGCAGATGGAAACCACTAATAGCATAATGTGTGTGGTGCTGGAACTGACTAGAATTAAAGCTTCTTACCTCGGGTCACAACCAATGACTAAGGCAGACCAAGGTCCCATGACTCACACTGCCCTGAGCTAGGTTGCTTTCTAACATATA